TGATTAACCCGACCTTGAAAAATATTGAAGGATGAGTGGTAACTATTTATGTCATTATTTCAAATTAGAATGATAGCACATCAGGAAAGCATGGCTCTTTAATATACGTATCTTGCCAGCCCAATAGTGTTTTAAGTAAGAGCAACATGTATATCGAGAGTATTGGTTTGGTGCGTGACTTATCACACATTACTGTCAGAAAGTGTGCACATTCTGTTTATTGGCAATAAATGACATAAGGCGTTTAATGCGGGTAAATACGATTTACTTCAGAACTAGTATAGATTACTTTAGGTTAGCAGAAAATGTATGTAATTTACAGAACTTTGGATTTCGGCAAGCTTCGTGCTCAGGGGGTTGTTTGGGCGGGTTTAAAGGATTCGGGTCCTGGCTTGGGCTTTGTGTTGGACGTGTAGACGGCATTTCCAGGTTTGACGTTTGAATGACCAAAATGATGTCTGATGCAATTCTCTATTTTGACTTGTAGCGTGTGTTTCCGTGCCTTTTCGGGTGAACAATTGGCTTGCCTTTGCATGTGATTGTGGCGGGTGCCACTAGGGGATCGGGATGAGCTCGCCTTTTTCCGAGCACCCGGTGTCATCATCTTTTAGGGCGAATAATGAAACATGCTCCTGGTGTTGTCGGAATCGTGCAGTTGGCGCTACTTTTTGCAAGGGTTTCTTATGATGATGGAACGGCTTATGTCGTTTTTGTCAAGTGATAAACATGAGATATAATTTCAGTGTATATGGTCATGTAATTAAGATTGTAATTTTCGCACTCACTTTCTGATGCGATTGTACGGGCATTGCATTTATCTACCTTCCCCAGCTGCATCTATTGGGAACAACTCACCAGACACTTCCCTCTCACAAATAACGTCAAATTTACGACGTCCTCAAGTTGCGAGCGCATGCTCGAATCTCCATAAATGACGTCATGATAGAACAATGTTTTATCGTGAAATAAGTATCGCTTTCTTCTTCTTTGTTCTTTGCGATTTATCGCGTAGCTGTCTTATATCATCAAATGTCATTCACTCATTGCTTTATCATGACATATCCGTGTCATAACCAAGCATGTAGCAATAGCACACACAAATATAGTTGAGTTCGACATAGAATAGTGTCATGATATATGATTATCCTTTGGTGTGCAATATTTCTGGTTGATAAATCTAACATATGCTTTCTTTTAAGAATAGCGACCATACATTTTTATATCACTTTATCAGGTCTCTGTAACATTTGCAAAATAAAACAAATTTAATAATACAACTTAACCTAAATGTATGTATGTAGTAATATCCTTAAGTTGCTGAGTGCGGCATTAGACAATAAACAAAACATAATATCTTTAAGAATTATGTTAACAATGCCGATGCTAAAACATAATCTCCACAATATCCATACCTCTTTCTCTATGTTTAATATGAAACATAATAACTCTTTTTAATGATCTGAAGTAATAATAATGACAATAATATCATAAAAATATCATCATTATTTATGTTACTTATCCTCAACTGAAGTAGTCCTCAACACTATACGTTCAGTGAAGAAACCCACGAACATATTATCTATGTAACATACATTCATGGAAATTAGATGGACAGTTGAAGTTATCAAATGATAATATTCGGTCGAACGTCTGTCAGCCAATACTACAATTCTACGGTTATGTTTGCAAGGCTACTCTCATAAATATCATGACGCATTAATGTGCTGAGTTATTATTGCGTTAATTTCATGATTTACAGTATTCATGAAGAACATTTCACGTGGGACCAACAGAGGGAATTATGACTATCGACTATGTTGTGTATTTATCTAGCTCAAACGATCTATTCGTTTGATATATTGTTATGGTATCCACAAAAAAGACGGATCCGTTTTTGTTGTTCTTTGTTTAACGCCGCACGCAGCAATATTGTTTGATTGAGTTGTTTCATTGATTGATTTACTTGTTATATTGATTGTATTGTTTTATGAAGTTGATTGATTGTTTTATTGATTGTTTTATTGATTGTGAGTGGGTGAGTGAGTGAGTGAGTGAGTGGCTGTTCTACTGGTATGTCCGGATCTGGGTACGGGTCACCGGCTTAGCGTCATATATCTATGCATATATCTATGCAGGAATAGGTCATCCATGCGGATAACGTAATCTCGATTAATGTATTCAGGAACCTCTCGTGAACAAGATTTATTGAAAATGCTACCGAAGAATCAAACAACTTAAAGACTTAGCTTCTGTGGTGGAATCATTGTAATATTTCACATAACCGTTAACGTACTTCTTGAATGTTCACGCCATTCATTCAGACAGATCTCGAAGATATGTTAATATTTATGCGAGGACAACGGATTAGACATCGTGAGGCCGATTCACAATCCGTAAAAGTGTGTGATAAGTCATGAATAACCCATTTGATCTCCCGTACAAAGAATTTCTTTTGTACGTGTTGTCACAGCGCCAACAAACTTTGGTCAATGGATCAGATAAAAGCAGCCCTGTGGATGAATGAACGACCCAGCGAGGCCAGTAGCGCCACCTAGTGAGATATGATGGAAGAAGACCAACCGATCCGAGGGTTGAATCTTGTCATACTCCGGTGCCAGATGATCCGGGATCGGGTGACCATAATGTGGTACCTGGAAGATTGTGTGTCATCAAAGCGGACAACTTTGGTCTTTGACTGATTGTGGCGCAAACCATACTTATTCATTTACTTGTATCGAAAATTGAATGTTCATCTTAATTGTTATTGATGAACAAGTAATATATTTTCAAAGAAACATAATAACTTCAACTTTATGTGAGTACGAGTAGCTCTATTGGAGATGGAGATGAATAAGCTTCTTCACAACCGTGAGAGTGGGGGGATAGATGATGAATTTAACAACAAGTAAGGCCATCTTGAGCGGGACGGTTTTCGTAGATGGAATAGCATATGAACAAAGATTCTCTTTATGTAGAAAATAAAGATCCACGACCACGACCTGGTATAAGTGTGTAATCAAACCGCACAGCATTCGTCTTTGATTGACTGTGGCGTCAAAACAAACTCATTCATGTACTTGATCTGAATGTTCATCTTAATTGTTATGGATAGTCACGGAGCCGTAATCCAGAGAACAGGGTGTCATTAGATAATAATAAGTAATTATAAGTAATAATAGGATTACCAGAAACACGGGGTATAACACCCAAACCAATAAGCTTCGCTCAGGAACACCAGAGTAAGTCAGTACAAGATTGAAAACTGCCCCATAAGTATTTATGACAGGTTAGTCGGGTATTGCTACTGGTATATGTGAAAATAAAGTTATTAAAGTGAATAGCAAAACTGATGAAAGTCACCAATAAACGTGTATAAGTGTTAAATATATCGTCACTGCAAAAATAATGAGTGTTTGTATTTAGTATTAACATTCAAATACGTTATATCTGTATTAGCAATATTGTCTACGTTCCACCGGTGAGTAAGCGTTAGGCTTACTATCTCGTAGTATAAATGTTGCAAGAAATTGTATTTCTGAAGACATCACGATACAGTTTTTACGATGCATCACGTCTGCACTAGCACTTGATAACAACCTTGTGTTTGGGTGTTTCAGTAGTTTAAATTGCTGCTCTTGATATTGTTGATTACACTTTGATGCTATGAACAATATAAGGTTATATGAGATTATGACTTTAGAACGGTAACATGCGTTAATGTATATCTGATATATATATATAGGATGACATAAATAGAACAATGAGTAGTACGTCCAGATTAGTGTATAGGCAACATTTAATAATTAAATTCAACAACTCTCCTAAGTCTTTTTTGCTGACTTTAAAGTAAATGAAAGAACACAATCGTCCTGAATACAATGTATAATTCTGCACTTCCATGTGACTATATAGCATACAAAAAGCTTTCGGGTCCCGTTTGGATTGATTTGGGTGGCAGCTTTGATATCCATAGAAAAGGTTCATCTTGGAAGCTCCCATATAACTGGGGCTCCTCTTCAATTTAAATGGAATTACTTGTTTCTTTCAAAACTATACAGTTTTAGAGACTAAGCATTAGTCTGAATAGATATCACCAGTTTGGAATTTGAAACTAATCTGTTTACAGTAACAGGACACTGCTTAAGTGTCATGTACACATGAGAAAGTGGAATCCCGTCAATTAGGCGGACGAACCCTAAAACTATTAATAAACATTAAAATAAGCAATATCGGAAAAATGTATATGCATATAATAGCTGGCAATATACACCAAGATCACCTTCTACAAAAATAAGTTTTAAAAGCCGGTTGATATTCGTTTGCGTATTTGACGATTATATAACTTTCGAAAGTATAAATCCTTTTCCTATACTCAGACGTTCCTGAGCCTTGCGCTTTCCTAATTATTTTGACTAAAATTATTAGCGTTGCCATTGTTTTAGTTAATGGGAAATGCGTGCCGATCAAGTACGTGCCATAAATTAAAGCGACATTATACGATTCCGAACTTATCACGAGACTGTATTTATGAATCACTGTCAAATAGTGGTGACATAGTGGAAACAATACGCGAAATCGCGCATGCACAGAAGGGAAAATTTGGACAAGGCATTAAGCAATCCGCATGCGCAGAACGATTGATTTCAGTACTTCCGCCAAGCGCTTAGAGTACAGCGTCAAACTCGGGCCTGTAATCTCTCACGCGAGAACTGACCAATGAAATCTGAGAAGTAGAAATACCGGTAGACGTTGTTGCTTGATTGACAATGTCAATCAAGAAAGGGAGGAGCTTGATGATATCGTTCTCTCCCAGTAAATTCCGATGTCAAATAACGACGTTATTTGGAGGGAAAAACGATGGTTTAAAAGCGTCCAAATAACGTCGTTTTTCCGTCATATGTCCATATAGGAAAAAAACCGACGTTTTCGTGTTTGCAGTGTCTTGACAGTGCAGTCACTCAATATGGTCACAAATCTAATCAGCTGCTTGTCATCCACAGGTGACTGTTCTATGGCGATATGTGGAGGAGTGAATCTTCTTCTGAATGGAGGAGTATTTATACCTCTCAGCAAAGCTCAGATGTTATCCCCAACAGGACAATGTCGTGCATTCTCTGCCAAAGCAGATGGCTACACGAGAGGGGAAGGATGCGGTATAGTCATTATCAAGCCGCTCAAGCAGGTGAACCATTGAGGACATGTCCCAGTTATGGAGTGTTTTTTGTTATATCAATAACAAACGTGACATTTGACAGAATGTGACGACATGCTATTAAATAAGGTGCAATATACAATGTGTGTATTTAAGTGATGACACAGGTAGGTGTGTGTGTGTGTGTGTGTGTGTAACGTCTTAACTGATGGCAAGATAACATGGTTGATCATAATGACGGAAACGTTGCTACATCCTTACTCATTTGATCATCAGTTTAGACGTCCGACTTCCCGACTTCTTCCAAACGCCACACAAACATACATTTATTTGCATTTCCATATTATTTTAGAATATTAGAATTGAAATCAAGTTTTTATTGTAATGATTATGTTTCAGGCAATGAAAGATGGTGATAACATTTGGGGAACGATAGCTACTGGTTTAAATCAAGACGGACATGTATCAAAACCTCTCACAGCGCCGTCTGGCGAGCAACAAGCACAACTGATCCAAGATGTGTATTCCAAACATGGCATAAACCCAGCATCCATCGACTACATAGAGGCACATGGTAAAATATTTCATTTATGAGTTTCTCCTTTCACATTGTATGACAATATTCCTCTTTTTTTCCATAAAAGTCATCATAATGACTTTTTCTCTGCTCTTTGAATAGGAACAGGCACAAAAATTGGTGATCCAGTTGAAGTCAATGCTTTTGGACATTTCTTTATGGAACAACAACAATCAAAGACACGCTATATTGGTTCTGTGAAGACCAATATCGGCCATCTGGAGTCAGCAGCAGGAGTGGCCGGACTAATCAAGGTCCTGCTGATGATGAAACACAACACCATCGTCCCATCCCTACACTTTGACAACCCCAATGAAGAGATTAACTTTGACATGTTTAAGTTTCAAGTACCAACGGAACTAGTTCCATGGTTATCTGAACCGAAAGTAGCATGTCTAAATTCATTTGGGTTTGGGGGTGCTAATAGCCATGCCTTAGTGAAAAGCATTTCAAATAGACAAACTGAAAGCACATGTTCTTGCACTAAACCTACTGTTATTTGCTTTTCTGGTTCTAATCACCAAACTCTGACAAAGAGCATTGAACAGTTTCTCTCCACTGAAAATCATGATATTGACGTCCATCCTTTGTCATACACATCATGTGTCAGGCGAGAACATTTCCCATGTAGAAAGCTGTTTGTTGCAAGTGACATGTCGAGTCTTGTAGTTCAACTAAAAGAATTCATTAAGACAGATAGCAGGGCAGAACCAAATAAGGGGCACTTTAGGCCTGTCTTCGTCTTTTGTGGCATGGGCACCGCCTGGAGGGGGATGTGTATAGATCTGATGGAACAAAACACAGGGTTCCGGGGAACCATAGAAGCTATTGACGCATCTTTGAAACGCTTTGTTGATTGGTCCCTCACCCAAAAACTGAAAGAAGATGATGTCTTAGATCCAGTCCTTGGTCCCATTGCCATATTTGCTTGCCAGGTGTCTCTAGCACGCCTATGGGAGTCTTGGGGAGTGAAGCCAGCAGCTGTGGTAGGTCAGTCAGTGGGGGAGGTGGCTGCAGCACACATTGCTGGAATCCTGTCATTGGGTGAGGCTGTGAGTGTCATCTACCACAGGACAAATATCCTGTCCAAGGCCGCTGGGGGCAAAATGCTTTTTGTGAAGAACTTGGACACCAAGGAAGTGGAAAATCACTGTGCGAAGTATAAGGGCAAAATCAGCGTTGGCCTTTACTACAGTCCAAAAGCATGCACAGTGAGTGGTGATGCTTCTGAAGTAAATCTGCTTAAAGATGAGCTATCAGAAATGGGTGGAGACATAACACTTACAGACCTGCAAGTGACATCTGCCTTTCATAGTCATCACATGGATTCTTGCAAAGAGCAAATTGAGGCTGTATTACAAAATCTGAAGACGGAAAAACCTACAGTTCCATTCATTTCTACCATTGATTCAAACTACACCGAGGAGGAATTGAGAGCAGCAACATACTGGTCAAAGAATGTCAGAGCACCAGTCAAATTCGGGGAGGGTATAAAGGCTGCCATGAAAGAAAATGCCCACAATGTCTTCATAGAAATTGGACCACGCCCAGTTCTGAAAGCACACATTGACGATATCTTACAAGACACTTCACAGACTGCAGAAACTGTGCCATCAATGACACCAAATTCGAAATATGAAAACCTTTTGAAATCCCTGGGTGAACTGTATGCATGGAATTGCAACATATGTTGGTGTGAACTGTTTGGAATGAGAAGACATACAACCCCTGAACCAACACACGCTTTTGAGCACAAACATGTCATGGCGTTCCCAGTGGGTAGTTCTTCAGGAACATCTATCTCCATGCATCACCTGTCAAGAGACACCAAGCTAAATATGCACATTGATCCATCATCTTTTGGTTCCATCTATGAGCATACACTCAAGGGCAAAAGCGTTATTCCAGGAGCAGCCTATGCAGAGACTGGATTTGCAATCATACGTCTGCTGAAACTTTCAAATCCCTTTGCATCAACAGTATCAGTTGTGTTTCAAAGTCCATTCACTCTGAAGAGGGGTTTTCCGGCTGATTTGTCTGTAAACTTTACACACAATGGCAGTTGTACACACTTTGAAGTGAAAAGAAATGATATTGTTCATGCAAAAGGAAAGATAGATCACCGAAGAGAGCAACCTGCGGAGGAGAGGCTAGACATGAAGCATATTTTGAAACGATGCACAGAAAAGGTCAAAGGGGAATATATATATCAAAAGCTTGCAAATCTTGGATTCAAATATGGTGACAACTTTGCCACAATTGACGAAGCACATAAAGGGCAAGACGAAGCACTGGTCAAAATGAAAATCCCCGAGATGCTTAGAAAAGAAATGGATCACACCTTTTTTCATCCAGCTATCCTTGATGGAATGCTTCAAGCAGCCGCAGCAACATCCATTGAAGTAGATAAAGAGTTCTTACCTGTTCAGATGAGCTATGTCCACTTGAAGCAAGCTTTAGAGGCAGAAATGTTTACCTACACCCAACGATTGCACTCAACTGACCATTACCAGTCATTTCATATGAAGCTTCTTTCTGAGAATGGAAGAGTTCTGGGTGAGGTTGGACTGTTCAAGATCAAGTTCATAGGTAGAGGTACATATGACCTTATTCTACCAAACTGGACAAGAATGGACCAGGTGTCTAAAGTAGATGATGCCCTGAACACAAAAATTGCTGTATTCACAGATAGTAAGGTGTGCGTAAAGGATGACACTGAGAACGTTTATAGCATGGATAAACTAACACCTGATTGGGTAAAGAATGAACTCGAATCAGCTATGGAAGGCGTATCAAAAGGATGCTTCCTATTTGGCACAATTGATGTTTCAACAGACAATGGATACTTTATCCAAGAAGAACTGGTTAAGCGCTTCCTTTCACTGCGGTTAATGGTTCTCTATCTTTCTAGCAAACAAGCAGAGACACCTTTGATAATAATGTCAGAAGCAACAGAAGCCAAGGCTGCAACTGATGCAGCAGCAGCGACGACATGTCTCAATGATGCAATAACAGCAGCAGCACGATGCATCATACGAGAACACAAAGCACTGATCATTCAAATAGTGGAGGTTGTTGTGGGTACAAGTGGGGAATTGATGAAAAATATGAAACACTTTCTGTCAAAACTTCAAGCAATTCCTCCAACCAAATACCCAGAAATACGGTTTGAAAACGACAGCATTTACACATCATCAATGCAACTCATTTCTGAAGAAGGCCCAAACTACAGAGTCAGCAGTATTCAAGACCAAACTGATGTCCTCCTGTGTTCAACACTTGACAGCAAAATTGTTGATCCATCATTTGTGCAGGATATTGACTCTCAGCATTATGTTAAAAGAGATGGCAAGGATATCTCGGTTGTTTCAGCTGTACTTCACAAACCTTGCTTACACAGCATCACAATTAACAATCAACACTTTAGAGACATCCATATGTACCCGATCTTGTGTTTTGAGTTTGTTGGCAGGGATGCAACTGGGAATGGAGTTGTGCAACCTCAAAGCGTGGCACTCTTTCCATCGCCTATTAAACAGACTGTCAGTATTCCCATGCAGTGCATCATCGATACAGCTAAGTTTCAATGGTACCAGCCTGGTCTTATGATCAAGCTCTACTGCCTGTGGAATCTGAGCCAGGTGGTGAAAATGAAACATGTAGCAATCCTGTTTTCCCCGGAAACTGAAGCTCTTTCAAAAGTTCTTTCTAGCATGTTAAAATGTTATGGGACAGAATCCGTTGCCCTTATCACCCCAGAAGAATTGGCTACAAATGGAAATTGCTCCCACAGGTCCCTAATCACAACAGTTATGATATCTACTGACAGTCTCACAACGCTTGTTTCAAAATGGTCTAAGCTGGAGAATGTAATCACATTTGAAACAATAAACAAAGAAAGAACACTCCAATTCCTTCGTTCAGCTAAATCAAGTCCAACAGTGTACATTGTGCGTCCATTTGACAAATTTTCTCCGTCTTTAATGCTTAGAAATGTACCAAAACTCTTTGCATGGCTTAGGAAACATAACAAGCAAAACAAAGACCTCTTCATGTCCCTCACAAGTGACTCTTCTCCACAAGATGAATGTACACCTATCAGCATAGCAGAGCTCATGCAGACAACATGCCTAGATTTGTCAAGAAAAGATGAATTTGACCAGACGGTCATGAAAACACAAGTCAACAATCTATTCAACAGATGTGGTTCCTACATTGTTGTTGGAGGAGGCACGGGACTTGGGTGGGAGTGCGTCTCATACCTTGCAAAACAAGGAGCTGGATGTATTGTTATTCTCTCCAGGAGTGTGCCTAAACCTGAGAAACAAGAGGAAATACAATCACTAAACACAAACTTCGGTTGCGTGGTGACATCCATTCAAACAGATGTATCAGATTTCACGGCTTTGGTTTTTGCTTTTGCAACAATAAAAGACAAGTTTTCAGAATATCCACTTCGTGGTATTTTCTATGGTGCAGCCATTGTTGATGATAGTCTTCTCCCAGATATGACAGAAGAGATGGTTCGTAAAGTAGTCTCTCCAAAAGTAACTGGGGTGTGGAATATGCATGTCCTCACTGCACGCATAAGCTTGGACTTCTTTGTCATGCATTCATCTGTAGTATCTGGCATTGGAAACGCTGGTCAGTCCAATTACGGTGCAGGAAATGGCTTCATGGATGGACTTGCACATTTGCGGAGAAGATTTGAGATGAATGGTCAGAGTATCAACTGGGGTCCACTAGACACAGGTCTTCTGGAGCGTACTGCAAAGACTGTACAGATGCATTTACAAGAGAAAGGGTTGCTTATGATTCAGCAGCCAGACATAAGCAGCTGCCTAGAGCTAACACTGATGCTGAATAAAGTGCAGATGTTTATTGTGAACGTTGACCGAAAGAGGATGTCTAAGCAACTAATAAGAGACAAGGAGAAAATTGTAATGCTCCGACTACGTGACTACTTGGGACCCTTTTTGAATCAACTGGAGGACAGTTCTAGTGAACAACATTTTGATTTGGCAAAATTAAGATCATTAGATCAAGGGAGCAGGTTGCATCTCTTGAAAAACAATCTAAGGGACCTGATATGTAGACAGGCTTTGCTAAATGAAAGTGAGATTGACGATGATGTTCTATTAGTACAACAAGGACTCGACTCAATGAATGCCATGGGTGTTGCTGAACGAATCCATGAAGAACTTGATGTAACAATTTCCGCCGTTGATATTGTGGTAAAAACAGTGTCTGACTTGGCAAGTATGATTAATGAAGGTATCACAGATCCAGAGGTTCTCACAGAGGAATATGAACGTGTTATCAGTCAAACTGATATCCAGGACTCCATTGAAAGGCATATCCTAGAAGATGAGCAGCAAAGTCAGAACAAGTCTGGATTCATATTTGATTATGTACAGCGTCTCCCAGATGTTATGCTTGATACCCAAATTGAACAAATAGTTACCGAATGTTTCTCCAGACACCGCATAGCTAACAGGACATTTGCCTTTCTGAACAGTGATATCAAAAGAGAAGAATCCACATCTACCGACAGCTTCGAAACAGTCACAGGAAAACTTGCCACTGAATTAGTCAGCGAAGCCCACAAATTCGTGAACCTGGAAAAGATAGGACCAATCAAATGTTTTTTTCTGTCGGATTCATTCAAGCTGGTTCTTCTTCTACACCGTGTTGCGTTTGACCGTAACGGGGCCAAGGTACTCGCAGAAGAACTTAAAATGTTTGGAGAGGCTCTTGTGCAAGGAAAATCTCTGGCAGATGTCCATACAAACCCAGACAGAAATATTGCAAAAGAGATACAATGTGTATTGGCTCCAAAGTACAAACACCTCGAGGCATTCTGGAAGAAAACCCTGCATAAAACCACATATGCCACACTTTCAAAACGCCCCAAAGCCCCCAGTGGACAATATTGCAGTGGCATACGCATTGGGAGAAGAATGGAGGATAAAGCAACTGATAAACTGCCCCGATCACAGAACCTAACACCATTCGACTTCATGATTAGTGTGCATCAACTAATGGTGGCCTTTGAAGGAAATACGAATTCACCATCAATCCTAATCCCTGTGGATTTGCGTCAATATGTCCCCTCACTGGCCAAATGTGTGGGAAGATGTACAAACTACATCCCTGTCATTGCAGACATTCCAGATCTGTGGAAAACCACAGTGGAAACGTTCCTCACTGAGAACCAGAAAAGACTTCAAGAATACAAGAAGCATGGCCTCTTCCTCTATAAAAACATCAAAGCTTTGCTGTCTGAGGAACATATGCAAACTAATCGGTTCATTTACGAAGATCAAACAGATAAGGAGAATTTCAATGACGAGGAATGTAAAAGCCACCTAACATTTGCCCCTGCTGCAGAAACCTGTATGTTTGTATACAACAAAAAAGACAATTCAAAATACATTGAGTTGCATTTGAGATCTGACATGTTCCCTAATCCCCGAGGAGAAGAGATCATGAAAATGTTCCTCAGGCTCTTATCTCATGTAACAAATCATCCTGAATGGACACTTCAACATCTGAAGCAGCAAGTAGTAACCGAGGTTCGCCTCTGATGATGCCATCCCTTACAAAATGCATACAATCATGGCCCTTTTAAGTGAGTTACCACCATATATGTAGTTAATTATCTATTTAATCAGTCTAGCGGTACGTATAATGTATGTGTGTGCTGGGCGTTGAATTGTTTCAGGAGCTCTGTGGGGCCATTCTGGTCGGGAATGGTGGTGAATGTGTCGTCTTTCCGGTACCAGCAGAGGGGTTGGAGTGTTGCTGTTGAGGGGGCTGATCCTTAGAAGGATGTCATGAGGATAGCAGTGATAATTGGAGATAGAGGGGATCCCATAGGCAGTCCGTGGATATGATGTTTTCATTGAAAATAAAATATGATATGTCAAAGCAGCTGGAGGCGAGGTTGATGCTGCTGCCTACAGTGAGTTTGGTGTGTCGGTCGTCGATTCTGTAATGTAACTTGTTGCGTAGAATATCAATTGCTTCTTGTAGAGTGATGTTGATGAAGAGGTCGATTACGTCATAGCTGACCATGACCACAGCCAGCCATGAACCGTGACTCGGGAGTCTATCATCCCAGTGCTTACTTACTTACTTACTTTGGAGATTTAACGTGCGCTTTCCGACTGATGCGTATTTCGCACACGGGCCCGGCCAGGCCATTTAATGTGTCCCCGAAAGGGGCGAAAGTGGTGTGTGCAATCCAAGAGGGGGCTTTAGGGGTTGCTTATATAGAATTTGGGAATTTTGAGATTTGGAATAGATGCCGATGGGGTTTGGGAGTAGAACTAAGGGAGCTGGGTATGGTGGATGTTTGTTTGTTTATGTGATTTTGATTTGGTAGATTATAGTGTTTTTAGATGCGTTTTATTAGTTCCGTTTTGATTAAGAATACGCCTATGGCCTTGAAGTTTTCTAGTTTATTTTGTGGGTTTAGTATTGCTTCTAGAATGAGAGCCTTGTTTAGATTGAGGGTGGTTTGTAATGCGGTTCGATGTGTTAGGTAATGTGTGCAGTGGATGAGTGCGTGTTCTGGGGTTTCTAGTTGTTTGCAGTGTGGGCAGTTACCTGTAGTGTGTGTTTTAAATTTGTTTAGGTGGTTATTTAGGTTGGTGTGTCCTGTTTGGAGTTTAGTGATTACTCTGTCGATTTTTTTTGGATGGATGGAGAATTTTTGGTTTGGTTAGTGGTTTGCTGAGTACTTTTTTGATTTGGCTATTTGAGTTTAGATATAGGTTATGCCATTTTACGCTTTTACGCTTTTGATTTCTGACTTTGAGATGGGTAAGTTTAAGCTTATTTCTGGGATTTTGAGGGATAGTTTGGCTGCCTTATCGGCGTTTTCATTACCGTATATTCCTACGTGGACGGGTATCCACAAGAAGGTTATTTGTTTGCCTGCCTTAGTTAGGTCGTTGGAGCTTTTAAGTATTTGATTTATTGATTTAGGTCGGTTTTTGGTATTTTTGTTTTGGAGGGCTTACAGTCCACTTAGGGAGTCGGTAAGTATTAGGATTTTTTTTGTGGTTTTTGGATTCTTGATTATGGAGGGCTGAGGCCATGCCCATTAGTTCTGCCGTGAATATTGATTGGCTGTTTGGGAGTTGTAAGGATTGTGTGGTTTTAGTTGGTTGTGTTGTATGGACTCCGAAACCTGTGTGTTTGGAGGTCGGATCTGAAGATCCGTCCGTGTAAATGTGACACCAATATGGCCAATTTTCGTGTATGTATGCTAGTGTGGTGGTTTTAGCTATGTTTGGGTCGGTTTGTTTATTTATTTGGCTAGCTAGTGTTGTGTCTGTTTTGGGTATTTTAAGTTCAGGGGTGAATATATTTGATTGTTTGCAGTTTTGTTTAAGATTTGTAATTTGGTGTTCATGTAGGTAGTGCCCAGTGCTTGGGATTTATTGCTTTGATCCTTGTCGGTGCTAATTATCTAGCTGGCTTCCATTTTCCCATTACTATGTTCATTCTTTCACCTATCAGTGCTAATTACCCCCGGCCTCCCGTTTGCCCAGTGTCCATTGCCAATTACCAATCAGTGACAATTTAAGTCCTGGCTTTCAGTTGCAACTATCGGCGCTACTTTCCGTAGAGTGTTGTCTTCCCTTGTCTTTCGCTAATCACCTATCAGCGCAAATTATCTGTGGACTGCCCTTGTTAAGTTACCTTTTGTTATCTTATTACTTTTGTTTTTCTTACATGTACATATATAGGCTCTCTGAATCTTAGCATTCGTTCACCTGATGAAGGAGTAAGTATATACTCTGAAACGTTGTGTTCATAACAATGAAGAAGTTGACATCCAAAGATTCTCTTCCTCAGAATCTGTTTGTTTGCTTTAAGGTGAACATTTGTCATATATTTCTTTTGCAACAGCACATGTCAGTTGTTTCAGAAGCAAATATAATTTAGGTTTCTCGAATTTGACGCCCCCATTGTTTCGAGTATGTTTCTTTTCATCAATATGAATAGAGGTAAGGTTTTGGCCTTCGTGTAATCATAAAGGTCATAAAATACACACATATATGATAGCCAGGACATCATATTTTATTTTCCTTTTTGCAAAATAACTAAAATCGTCATTTTTTATTCATACCCTAAATTGTTGTACTTGTATGAATATCCTGTTGTGTAATCATTCACAACAGATTTTTACTTCTTCTCCACGTGTTACTCATAATGTATCTCACCTTAGGAGTGTTATATAAAAGTAACGTTTATAATGATAGAACGGAAATGGAGGAAACTCTATTACAAGCTGTATGTCATAATATTGATGTAAAAATACTACAGTAACAGTTCAATTCATCATTATTAATTCCTGAATCACAAATTGAGCCATTGCTGTCCACAATACATTGTCTATGGTTATTATAAACATGGAGTACTGTTCGTTGAACTATCTTAATAAGTGATCAGATATTAAATACATACTCTGGCATATCACCTGTCAAAACAATATATAACAGTTGTCACGTGAACTGAATGACATCTAATTCATCTAACTGTTCTTACTCTGTTCACGCCGCGAGAAAAACGTGAACTTGTTTGTTTTAGGTTTCTTGGTTTATTTAATGAATAAATGAAGTTTGTTGCAATGTCAACGCCAGAGAACAACTAGTCTCGATTATCCGACGAAACAGGCGACAAAAGGCAAAATATCGGTGGAAAGTATATGAATGGACAACCGAAAACCCTCTGCATAAGCATAAAAAGTCTCTGCTAAAAGACGAGTCGATATTACGATTCCTACCACATCAAAATCATATGTTTATGAATCACTATCAAATGTTGATGATACAGGGTGTTCGCGAACAGGTAAGGGTATCGGTGACATGCCATACTATTTTTTTAAAATTAGTTTGAATTGTTGTCCAACTTTGTAAGTTTTCTTGGAGACTCAACGGGCAAATGTCAGATAAATGTTTAGGTCCAATTATCAGTTCTTTGAATAAAACAATGATAAGAGTAATATTTCCATTTCGATGAACTTGCTTTGTTTTCTCTTACGTAACCAAAGTGGACACCAGATTCATGAAGCGTATTTACGGACAGTACTGTAAATAAACTGCGTTTTACTCATAACCGTTTTGTATTCAATGGTAGAACTGCAGGAGATTGTGATGGTAGCTATCCCTATACATCCGAATAGGGATGTTATGCAGTAGACTATTTTATTTTATCACCAAGCTTATATAGATATTGTACATCATTAATGATAGGAAATAAAGTGGAATCTAAACATATGACAGTTCGTTTACACGTAGAACGTAAGCCACGTAAAACCTTTAAAGAAAGGACTACAGAATGGATCTGACAAACACACATTGATAAGAATGGAATGATACCCAATCTACTATATTTCTGACATACTAAACAAAATGTGTACATCTTCGATGAGATCATTTAAATGGTGGAATTGGATTTTAATCACTATCTAGAAATAAAATGTACACGGTTATCCTAAGTGTGGCTGAATGTACGAAAAGGCCATTATTTGTAGCCAACCATCTAATGACAGTTACTGCGGGTTTGATTGCAAACAAGCTTCGCGAGAAGCACGGACATGTCTTAGGCGGTTCAGATGTAATAACATGTATGAACATTAAACGTATCTACTGCCGTGTAAGAAATGTTTCTAATGTATGTAGATAAGCAAAACGAAATATTCAGAAAAGGAAAAGAACAAACCATCAACTAACAGTTAAAGACTAGATTTTGGAAAGAAATTGAAAATAGTTCAGGACGATCTGATAAACTGTCAAATATTGACAAAGGTTCCTTGTTTGATCATTTTAAGAATGTATTTACAAATGTTTATACTCAGGTAAATATTAAATGACGATATTATCTATTATTTTTGCCATTATATGATGTTGATCTGTGCAAACTTGAATCATATATAACAGAAGTAGAAATAAATGGAGCATTGTATGACTTAAGAAATGGGAAAAGGCCCGGATTGTGTGTCGATTGAGATGTTAAAGCATTTTGTAAATATTACTAATCCCTTTCTTGGAAAGTTGTTACTCGACTCTGGTGTGTTTCCCGATTCCCGATTCTTTGACAAAAGCAACAGTAGTCCCAATTCATACGAAAAGATCACGAAATAATCCCGATAATTATAGGTGATTCCTCTGCTTTCTGTAATTATAAAGATATATTCCAGTATGCTAAATAACCGATTTTCGACCTGGGCACAAATACGGGGAAAGATACAAGAGACACAAGCCACTGTTGATTATATTTCGACTGCAAATAGGAAACAAAGCATCTGTTTTATTGCTTTCGTTGATTTAAGGAAATACAATTGATTGTGTGAAATTTTGGCATTGCTTGTATTCAGGAGATTTCAATGGAAAATGTTAAAGGCACTTAGTAGTATGTACTCATCAGTAAAAACATGTGTAAGAGGTAAACACAATTGTTGTACAGATTATTATGAGTGTCCAATTGCTGCATACTAAATCCATTGTTATTTTCATAAACGAATTATCAACATAAACTCTAAGAAATGGAAATTATGGAGTACATTTGTTCCGGACATGTTCGAAATCTTTCTACTTATGTTTACTGATGATGTCATTCTGGTATCTGACGCAATACAAGGATTACGTAAGCAACTGCACTTTCTTGAATCATACGAAGATGTGTGGGTCTAACAGTCAATTTAGTAAAGGCAAATGTTTCACAAGACCAAATAGCGTCCATTCCAATTTGGAATGATCGTTGGATTTCTTTGGAAAGATCGCTCATTCCAACATTTCCAAAGCTTGGAAAG